GGATCAAAACCTGGTCATCCGAAGCTTCCAAAAAAAGCATTAAATCATCGGCAAACATTAAGAAAGGAACCGATACAGCCCCTCGCCCAACCGAAATTGGTCGCCAACGTAGCTCCTCTACCTGTTGGCAAATTAATTGTGCCAGCCGCTCCATACACAAAACAAATAGATAAGGGGACATGGGATCACCTTGACGGATGCCTCGTGACGGTATGAAACCATCACAGACCTCTCCATTCCACATCAGGTGCATTGAAGCTGATCGTATACTAGCCATAACAGCGTCTGTAAACCTACGCGGGTAGCCGACATAATGCAAGGTCTCCTCGATGAAGTCCCATCGCAAGTAATCATAGGCCTTTTCCAGGTCTACTTTAATCACCATATATCGCTTCGCTCCTTTCTGGTGACGCATTGAATGGAGCAGTTCTTGAGCAACGATAATGTTATCGGTAATTTGCCGGCCGGGAACAAAACTAGCTTGGGCGGGATGGATCAAGCCGGGAAGGGTCTCTTTCATACGGTTCACCAAAATCTTGGTGAAGATTTTATACACAACATTAAGCAGGCTGATCGGACGAAACTGCTTAATAGTAGTCGGCTTGTCAACTTTAGGAATCAATACTAGCAAAGTCCGGTTCACACTCGGTGGGACGCGGCTCTAAGTCCACATTTGCGTAATTAACTCACGCACCGATGGGCCGACTATCTCCCAGTTTTGCTTGAAAAAGAGTGCGTTTAGTCCATCCATGCCTGGGGCCTTAAGGGAGCCCATGCCTCTCAAAGCGTGAATAATCTCCTCGTCGGTGATTGAACTAGTCAAAGGCGCCATCACACCCGCATCACAAGGCGGAAATAGGTTAGGGACACGGTTGCCGGCCGGCGGGTTACTATCCGTATAAATGGCCTTGAAGTAGCTCGTAGCCAAGTGCCGAAGTGCAGACTGTTCGGTAATGAGAGAGCCGTCATCATTCAGAAGTTCGATTATTCGCCCCCTTCTCCGACGATATTTCAGTTGCCGATGGAAAAAGGTGGTATTTCTGTTGCCCAAGAATGACCAATCGCGAACCGACTTTTGCAAAAGAAGAAGCTCTTCATGAGTTATAACCTCCTCCAACTCGGCCCGAAGCTCCCGTTCAAGGACCTTGAGCTTATTATTAAAATAGAACTTACGGCATCTTTGGATACCACCGATACGAGCTAAAAGGCGTTTTTTCCGCTGAAAAATGTTGCCAAAGACGGTATGGTTCCAGCTTGTAGCCGCTGCCACAAAGCTCTCCGTGGCCGCCAAATAGCCGTCAGAGGTCTTCCACGCGCCTTGGAGCATGTCGCGGAAATCGGGATGTAGAAGCCAAGGCGCCAGAAATCGAAATGGTTTCGAGCCTGGTGACTGGGAGTGTTGCTTCCCGAACTCGACCATCAAAGGAGAGTGATCTGAGTGGACCCGAGGAAGTTGCCGGACTCGTCCAGTACTGAACCGCTCGACCCACTTCTGATTAGCAATAAATCGGTCCAGCTTTTCGGCAATCTGACCGTTTGGGCCATCCCGATACCAAGTATAAAGGTGTGCATCCGTGTCCACCTCGTGGAGCCCGTAATTAAATATCCAATCAATAAAGTCTTGGCTAATATTACAAAAGCGAGAAGAGCCCCCTAATTTTTCCGAGTGTCGAAGAAGACAGTTAAAGTCTCCCCCTATCAGCCAAGGTTCGAAGGTTCGAGCCGCAAGCATCTCCAGATCCGCCCACAGCTTCTTCCTGGTCACCACATTAGGGCTGGCGTAGACAAATGATACCAAGCAGGCCTCATCACACTTCGTCACGCGAACATGGGCCAGTTGTCGTGAACAGAACATGATCTCCACTGTCACCGCATCGGTCCACAACAACCAAATACCCCCAGAAAAACCTCGGGCTTCTATCCGGAATGAATTATCAAACCTACTGGATCGTACAAACTTGTCAGCTTTTGTCCCACTGATACGTGGTTCAAAAATTGCAACGACATCCGGTCGAACTTGATTTATTAAGGTTGAGAAGACCCCCGTGAAAGTCGGCGAGCCTGCACCTTGAACATTCCACGTAACAATATTCATAAGGAAACTAAAGGGGAGTAAAAATCGATCAATTCTGGACCGGGGAGTCCAGCATGTCCTCACAACCCATCGGCGGGGTCACCAAATACGTACGCTCATGCTGAGGCTGAACCGTTGATGTCTTGTCCGGCCACGGCTCACGGAATTCATCCTCAGTCAGGTCCCCCAGTACCATATCCTCACCAATGGCATCATCAAGTGGACCCGGCCGGGGCTTATGAACATCACCTTGAGGGGCTGGTATATCCTCGATGACAATGGCATGGTGTTTGGACGGGTTAAGGCCCTCACCCACACGAATAAAACCAGGCGGCGCACCATCAGACATCTTCTCGATCGGTCGTAGAATATTCATATCAGAGCGGTCTCCCGAGCGTGATCCCGAACAATGCACAGAAGTGCCGGCCGCATGTTCAACCGGAGAGTCATCTCGTGTAACCTCGGTATTAGCTCCAAAAACTTCTTTTCCTTTATTTATCATGGGGATATTCCTCGGCTTCTTTCCTTTCCTAACGACCACCCGCCACTCATTATTGCTCGGTTTAGCGGTCGATGAATTTGTCGTGTACCCTCGCGCTCCCGAGCTGTCTTTGGCGCGGGCACCAAATGTAAAGCTTGGGGGTTGGTCTTCATCTTCAGCTCGCCCTAGGATGTCGAACCGGGTACCCATTCCAGGAGTAGAAGACTGATGTGGAGGAGGAGCCGTCGTGCCCATGGCGCTGGTCTTATTGCGGCATGTATAAGGTTGGCGGGTACGTTGTGGGACTTGTATCCATGGGCCGTACTCGGTCGGCGGGGCCTGAGCTGGAGCTGCGGAGTTACTATGGGAGCTGCCTTCGCCCTGGTCCCCAGTCAAATGGCCAGTCGAGGGCTGGTTGTCAGAGCGTCCCGGTGCATCGGACCCAGTGGGGCCATAGAGACAAGAACCGCTTGAATGGCCAATTCGGCCACACTGGAAACAGATAATCGGGATGCTTTCGTAGACTACCCTTTGCTGCCGCTCATTAATCGTAAATTGGACACATAGTGGTTTCGTTAAGTCCACAAGGACTGCAAGCCTGGCAAATTTGCCGCGCGTGAGTGCCGCCGTCTGTTGGTCAATCTTGACAACCTTCCCCACGACTCGCCCAATTTTCTTGAATATTGTCGTGTGGTAGAGATGGGCCGGCAGATCGGGAAGTCGTATCCACGCAACTGTAGCCGAAATCTCCTCATTCGTCGCATCAAAGTCTAGGCTCCAAGGTTGAACGTGCAAATATCCATTGCCCACCACGTAGGGTCCACCAGTCGTAACCCTGACCGCATCATCATGTGTACTGAAGTGAATAATGTAAAATCCATTCTCAAGGTCCATCATATTGCAGCCCGACATGAAAGGCCACATCTTGGTGAGCCGATTGTAAAGTGACGACATCGTAAGGGCGTCATCAAAAGGTTTAACTACCACCGCATTCATCCATTCTGTCGCGATGCGGTCAAAGAATGGTTTCGCAATTTTGATATCCGGCAACGGACGAGAAAGGTCCACTGATATTTCCTCGTCCCCATCATCCGCAGCCTTGTCGTCATCCGGGGTAATATCAACATGATGTCTATTCTTATTTATCATGTCACGGAAAGACCAACGCTGGGGAGGGGGCTGGGTAGGGGATGATGTATGAGCAGCAGCGTGCGGATTAGCAGTGACAGAAGCTATGTGCGACGCAGAAGCACCGGAAGTCAGAGGTTGGGCGGATTTAGGCTGAAGTTGATGCAGGTTGGAAGTCACAAATTCGCCGGAACAGGTGCGAACTCTGGAACGCTTCGATGCCGGGGGAAACTGTCCAAGAGGCAGAAATTCCGAGTGCAGGTTATCCGGTGGATCGACACCCGGGTCGGCCGTGGCCGAGATCAGATTGGGCGACGGGGGGCGAGTTCCGGTCATATTAGGGTTTTTTAATTAGGACTCCATTATATATATTGCAAGTTATCTCTTATAAATAGTACTATATACTCCAATTGTTATATTCAATTTTTAATTAAATTGTCGGGCCCTTAGTGTCTTGCTTGCCCAAGGGCCCTCGATCGACCTCTCTCTCCTCGAATGTCGGGCCCTTATATTCATAAATACTAAAAAGAAAAACATCTACAATCAAAATAAAAAACTTATACATGAATGGAGTAATTTTCTCCAAACAGTGTATTTTTGTTTGGAAATAAAAAATTAAAAGTAGAAATTATGTATATTGGGCCAACTTTCATATATATGAAGGCCCATTGTCCACTTTCATCCTCAATATTTGATCAGAAACGCAATGGCTAACGAAACGGCGACGTAGTGGACCTTCTTCCTCCTCAGAAACGAAAGCGCCTCGCATCCGCCGGCGCCACTTCCGCCATTCGCCGCACCCATCGACCTCTCTCTCTCTCCTCGGAGCACTCGACAAATCCCAGGTACCCCGAAAACCCAGACAAATTCGCTTCCCATCCCCCTCCCACCACCAACCACGCCGCACACAGAAGCGCCGCCGAGTTCCTTCCCCAACTGAGCGGCGGAGAAGAAGATCGCCACTGTCGGCGGGTCGTTCTCGGATCTTGATAACATCGGGTTTTCAGATTTCAACCCGCCCGATATTGTTTTGGACCTTTCTCTCGCAAAAATGGCCCCTCCAGTACAAAGACGATTGGAAATCATATAATCCTCCAGCGCTCGAGAAAGATAGAGGAGCAAACCTCATTCTTCACCGATTTTCTGTAGCCACTTTGATAATCTTCAAGCCCTTTGATTCTTTCTGCTCCTCTTTTTCCCAAATCATTTCCCCAATTCTCTTTCTCAATCGATCCCGAAGCCGCTAATAATTTGCCCTCGATTCAACTGCTCAATCACCAAAACAGTAGAGGAACTTTGTTCATGGATCCCAACATCATGAAATTCCTCGAAGAAGACGAGGTACCCTGGCTCTGTCCGCACAATTTACTGATACTATTCTCTTATTACTTCTGAATTTGCGGTGTTCGTATTTCGCATTTTTTGGTTTTGTTTCTAAAAATAAAGGCGAATTTGATGTTTGCGCAGGATGAAACAATGCACTCTGGGGCGGACGTGGAAGCTTTCACTGCTGAATTGAACAGAGACATTGAAGGGAATGCTTCCACATCTCAGCAACAACCCTCTGATTCTGATAACGGTAGTAATTATTTCAATCGACTAATTTGGTTGAATAATGTAGTCATATTTGTGTTTTTTCTTGTACAGCTTAAAATTGTCAACCGAACTTGTTGGCCATCATTCCTTTCTATAGTTTTAATCTTTTACTGCAGCTTTCATTTTTCTGGAGTTTGCATTTTGGCTGCTCAAATGTAACTCTTCTGGTATTGATAGTCAACTTTTCTGGAGAAAAGAAAGAAAACATACTGAGATGGTTTGATCGGAATTGGGATATGCATTAAATACAACCATTATTTAGACGAGTTTAGGTGACGTTGGAAGTTCAGGGTCTTTAATGAAATGTGAAGTTGCTTTGGCCTTGTGATTTAGTGCTGCTGTCTACGACATGATCTGCTTGGTACTGTAGAGTAGTCAAGAGTAGGTATTTGTACTTGTGCGGCTGTTCCGGAAGCTGGCAGAGAAAATATCTTGAATGAGAGTATGCCAATCATGTTGGTTTCTCTAAATTTGAGATATCACTTTCACCTGGATTGTTGCAAGAACTCAAATATTGTGATAGAATGAGTTAATGGAGCTATGACTTCCATCTCATTCTTTTTTTGTGCTATGCATTATTCACAACAATAAAATTTTGATTCATTGCCAGTAACAAATCATATGTTCATGTTAGGTTGATCATCTGCTTCTCACGTTCCGTGAATAGCCGGGTTATTCTTAAATGTGATAGTAAAGATATGTTAATCCCTTGCCTGAACATTAATATTGTGACCACTCCAAAAGTCTCATTTAATGATTCTAGGAGGAGCTTTTTGAATCACCATACTAGTATACCGCATGACTCCCATCTCTAGATTGCTCGAGTGGAGATAAACTTATAGTTAAGATTATAAAAATGGGTTGGTTATCATTCATTGGTAACTAAACTAACCAATAACTTTAGTTTTTCTTCCTTCTGTGCTTAGGCTTTCATTTCCTTTCAAGTTCTGAGGAAAATGTACAATTTAGCTTACTTGATCGTTTGAGTGGATGCAGAGATTTGGAATTAATTAAATGTGCCAGGTCGTATGTCTCATGTTTTTGTAATTTATATATTTAGATATGATATACAGTCCATCATCTGTCTAAATGTGCAAATCGTGTTACCGTGTCATGTTCCTGTTCATGTTTCACTGTTGTGCTTTCATGCTATCTGTTTTGTTTGATCATAAATATGCTAATAAGTCCAAATTTAACTGAACTTTTTATTCCCGCATTTTGTATTTGGGTCTTGCCACGTTGTGTCAGGCCTTCTCTGTAATCATCTAAACCGTGTTGTGTCGTGTTTGTGTTTGTGCCCTGCCAGCCATTAGCACACGTATTCCAGACCAACTACCCATCAGTACTCCTTCATAATATGTGTTTATGAGTTTAATTAGGTTCGGATCAGTTGTATATCTAACGCATTTCCATGTATTGAGTTGATAATTTAGCAGCTTCTATTTTTTTCAAAAAAAAAAGGAACTATAACTGATATATACTATAAAAAGGTTATAAGCAAGTTATGGTTTCCAGTTTATACTTTACCTATGCCCCATAGTATTGAGATACGTGATTTAAGTTCTATAGTTAACAGACAACAAGCAGGCAGGCTTTCATCAAAAGTTGTATGTAGACCAAATTGTTGGTGTTCTTTTGTTATCAATGATCAATTGAACGCGACTTTTCCTCCCTTGCTTGATTTTTCAACAAATACAGCAGCCATGTCTCACGGAGGCAGTGAAACCGCAAGTCATTTTCTTCCACAGTGGCAGACTTCAACTCAAGACGGAATTGTTAACTCTCAAACTGGGCAAGGTATTGCGGCCACGGAGGAAAAGGAACAACTTCCTTCTCAATCTAGTCAACAACAACACATTTTTGAGCCTGAGAATAGGAAGGAGGACGCTTTTCCACATAACCCGTCCACGGATGCTAGTTCGCAACGGCAAGATGATGGGAAAAATGTTCCCGCCTCCAATACTATGACTGCTCAAACATCTCGAGAACAGCCGATCCATATCCATGACCTGGATAGCGAATCCAATCTGGAAAGAGAGTCCCAAATGGAGAAACTACAAAATGTCAGCAATCATTCGGTCATGGGGATGAGTTCAAATGATCAAAGGCCTGTGTTGATGGAGTCCAAAGATCAGCATTCTGTAGGGACGGTGATGAGTGGCCAACAGGCAATGACTTCTGGATTGAATAATCAACAGTCAATGGCAAGTGGTAGTCAGAAACAGCAAGGTAGTTCGTTGAAGTTGAACAGACAGGTGCCATTTGGCATGTTGCTTCCAATAATACAACCCCAACTTGACAAGGACAGGGCTATGCAGCTTCACACACTTTACTTTAAACTGAAGGTGCTTTAGCTGTTGATATCTCTTTGTAAAATTAGTTTTTATGGAATGTTTGTTGATAACTACATTTTATATCTGTTTCCAGAAAAATGAGATCTCTAAAGATGGTTTTATCCGACACATGAGAAGTATCGTTGGGGACCAGATGTTAAAGATGGCCGTATTTAAGTTGCAGACACAGGCATGTGATGAAAAAAATTATTATTTGATGCATTTTATGCTTGACTTGAATATTTGAGTTTTACTAACTTCTGAAAATGAAAAATCAGGATGTCAAGAACACACAGATTGCTGCCAATCAATTTCAGTCGCAGCCTCAGACTTCTGCCCGGCAAATGCAACTTCCATCAAGTAGTACAAATCCTGCCCTGAAAACCCAAGCTAACTTTTAACCATTTCTATATAGACAGACCTCCTTCACTAACAAAATTCTTGTTTTGCTTCTTGCCGCACGAATGATAACAGATGTAAGCAGTTCAACAAGCAATGTCAATACACGTGAAGAAATGCAAACGGATTCACCGGGATTGCAAGCAAGCCATATGCCAACTCCTAGTCCGAGTTCCCTAACTCATGACCGAAAGCATTCTTCTTTTCCTGGACAAGGACTTAACAAACAACCACATAATATGCATATATCACATGCATCTTTCCCCACATACGGATCCACAGCAAATAGTTATCCACCTTTCACTAATGCTGCACCTCAGATGAGGCAGGGTTCAACGCACCAGAACATACCCATGAATCACCTGGGACACACGGCTGCACCCCCTGGCATGCTACATCCATCCAATTTTGACCGGGCCCATCCTCTTGGTGAAGCCAAGAAAATGCAGCAGGGAGGTCTGACTCACGTGCAGCAGAAAACCGGTGTTTCTCCATCAACAGCGCATGTGAAACAAGAAAACCTTGATCAGCCAGTTGAACAGCATAATGCCCTGCAAGGGTCATCTTCCTTGTCTCGTGGACCGATTAAGCAAGTTGGTGCGGCATCTGGTAATTTGAATAATGAACCTTTTGAGATGCAATCATCTAGGATGGGATTTGCTCCGTCTACGAATGTGGTCTCCATGAATTCTGTTTCCTCTTCCAATCCAAGCCCAATGGAACCTAACATTCAGGTACTAGAGCACTCGCTGGTCCCTTTGCGCCTCTTCTGATGACTGCATTTTTGAAACAGATAATTGAGTTTCCTTATTTGTGCACATTTTTGGCTCTAATGCTCTGAAGCTTTGCATCAGGGCATAGTATATGTCAACAAATTTCTTCTGGTTTAGGTTGTTGAATGGATTACACGCATCTTGTGTTTTCTTAATCACTCCATTCGGATTTGGTGCTATTTTTTTTTTTTAACTTTTTATTATATCAAGCCAGCTATTGCTGCTCATGGTTTATGAGATCTTATTTAACTCTTCATGTTAGGTTTATGCTTAGGTTCTACTCATGTTATCTGCTCCTATTCCCTGCAGTTTCTTTGTGTTTTTATCCGTGTGTAATAGTTGTTTCTTCAGTGAGTTAGGACTTGTTTCATTTTAACCAACTCGACAAAGTTGAAGAAACCACAGTTTTCTGGTGGAAATTGTCCTTATTGATTGATACACACACACACACACATACATATATATTTATCTTTGGTAAAAGTACCCTGTTCTAATGTGTTTCTCATTCGGGTTAATGTTCTCATGTACATCCTAAACTGTAGCCTTTGTTTTTCTTTCTTTGTTTTTCTGATTGTCTATTCTTAATTGTTGAGATTCTCATGATATAAATACATTTGTTTATTGAGCTGTTCAGTATCAGAGTATTTGATTGCGATTGTTATTTGCAATTTTCCCGTAATAATAGCTGTACTTCATCCTGTTACCTCTTCCTTTCTGTCTTTGTCAGTCACAACCCCGTTCAATAACACCCTCCATGGGAATTGGAAATAATTCGAAGGCTGCCCCCAAAAAGCCTTTGGCTGGTCAGAAGAAGCAAATGGAACCACCTGGTTCTTCTCCTCCAAGGTATCTCCATTATTGTTGACAGAAATTTTTCTTGGATATGAAGTTTTTAAGCGGGCCAATTGATATTTATTCTCATTGCAATAGTAAGAAGCAAAAAGTTTCTGGAGGCTTTTTGGATCAAAGCATTGAACATCTCAATGATGTTACTGCAGTTAGCGGAGTTAATCTAAGGGTAAGCGTCCCTCAATCAAATTTACAGATTTACGAGGCAAAGAATCATGTTTCCGTGTACCATACACCATAGTTTTTTGCTTGTAGCATTTGAAATGTATTATGGATTTTGCTTTGTCTTATGTGGTAAGTTCTTTAACAGGAGGAAGAGGAACAATTGTTTTCTGGCGCTAAGGAAGACAGCCGGGTTTCAGAGGCTTCTCGAAAGGTTGTTCAAGAAGAAGAAGAAAGACTGATTCTGAACAAGATTCCACTTCAGAAGAAAGTTGTGGAAATAAGTTAGTATTTCTTAGTTGAGCAGATTCTGTTTTTTGATTCAATATTTATTTATTTATTTATTTATTTTTT